TTACTAAATAAGACATTCTCTTTCGATTACTGGAGTCGGTTTGCTTGTAGCTTGAATTTTTTATGCTAATGAGGAATAAACGTAAATAAAGATCGCCCTATAGGGTAAAGAATATTTATGATAATCGGTACTTCAAGAGCTTTACGCCTTGCTTTCTGCCAGGTCAGATTTATTCATCCCAGGAATTCAAAATGTTTTTTGTGGCCACAAACATCCCTTTCAGTTAGTAACTTTAGTTTGATACGTTTGTTTATCTTTGAAGATTTCTCCAATTCGTATGGCCAATAGTTTTGCTGTCTTCTCAGAATCACAGAGCAAAGCATGGGTTTGAAAATGAAGACCATCTTGTGCACTAGTCGTGTCATGGTAATTGAAGACGACTATCCTTTTCTTTTTGCTATCGACACCACAACAAGTGATTCTCTTCAAACAGAACTCTATAGCCTGTCCTTCGTCTTCATCCACTGGAATCAAACAAAGCGAATCGTTGCAAAAATCAACCTCAAATATAGGCAATGTATTGCTTTTTCGCTTCTTCTTTGAGTTCTCGTAAATCTCCACGACGGAGCCGCTCATTCCCAAATCAAGCGGACGAAGTATCTTGACATTACCCAGGTAGCTAACCAACTCTCTTTGCTTGCTTGGTGCATTTGCGTCGTCGTTAAAACTATTACAATTTAAAACTGTTGACTGTAACAAGGGCATTTTCTGTGCGATGTTATCCATAGCGATATTCAGCTTGAAAGAAAATAAGCACGAAAACTGATATCAATGTTTCTTTTTAGCTTGATTATATCTGAGTATGGTAATCAGTCTCGGATATGACTTGAGTGTATTATATCCCCTTGAAAAGTCTATTACATAAATGAAAATAGTCGGCGCGGGTTTCTTTCATTATCGACATAGATGTTACTAGTAGAGGGATTATGCTTTTTGTCATGGATCACCTTTTTTGCAAGGGATCGGATCCTCCTTTTTTTGTTTTATTTTATTTTATTGACGTATTTTTTAGTAAGATAATATGTGCCGGTAACTGAACAAAAAAGTAAATGATGCTATAATGTAAATGTAATGGCAATTTAGGTTGTTAATTTGAAAATGATTTGTATGACAAAACAAATACACATTTTAAAAAATTAGGAGATTAAAAAAAATATATAAATAAATCAAAAAATTAATTAAAATGAAAAAGAAAAAGAAAAGAAGAAAGAAAAAA